GAGTGCAAAATAAAAACCTATCATATACCTTTGCCTTGATCTTCTTGGTTTTTATTTTGCTCTTTTGTCTTTTCCAAGTTGAGCTTGATCATTATCGACAGATGTCCGCCTTCATCACCATAGACCTCATCTTGCTCAATCAGTTGGATTGGACCACCTTTTCTAATTCATACACTTAGATCAAAGGTTAGTCCTAGGTTTCATCAATTATCCAAAACCAAACTAGGGTTTTCAACGTGAAAGATCACATAGCATCCACACCAATTGGACCACAAAAGAAAACCTATCCCCCGTGTCAGCTCCTAATATTCCACTGCCTACACCGACCTCCTAGTAGAAATTATACTTCTATCTAACGGGGTGTGAGATCAAGCCTACCCATATAGACATGTGGCTGTACATAATATCTCACTAGGCGCAAGGGACTATGAACCGGTCCTTATGTGACCAAGGCGAGTATCTCCCACGGGAATCCTCTCTAGGCATCCCTGCCATGGTAAACTATCTCCATAATTTACCACCACTCGCCCCATGTCGGGGTTTAGTTTCAGGTTTAACAATTTTAAGTTCCATTATTATCCCTATATCTATTCATAGCGTTGAGCTCATAAAATAACAAGATAACCATTTAGCTTAATCTAGCAATAATCATATCACAATGATCGAGCTCATATTATAGGGTAATAATCTTATAGTCATGTTTTAGCATTTCAGTGGTTTAAAGCAAGATGGTAGGGAGGGGAGCTAGGACTTGCCTTCGTCGTTGTCACCTTCTGGCACGTCTACGAAATTTGGGTCCTCATCCTTCTGACGATTACCGTCTTCTGTCGACGTATTGATCGAAATAAGACTACCGCTAACCACAAAAGAAAGGGCAAAAGCAAACATAGAACAATATGGTGGTACTAGGTGCAAATGATAAGGTTGGATTTTAGATGAATTCTAGAGGTGCTTTCATGGGAAAAGGAGTTAGGGTTTAAAAGTTATATGTTTTAGAAGTTTATTCGATAGCTATTTAACTAGGTAGGGATTTATGTGCATTTTCCAGTGCATGAAAATATGTGCAAACTACATGGTTAAATTCCCTAATGCATCTAGTTTATTTATAAATTTTCTAGAATTTTTCTAAGCTAGGAAGATGTATTTTTAGCTCTTTGTGTACATTGGCCGGGTGTACCTAGCATTTTCTAAAGCGTACCCCGCGCTGTGTGTGTGGTGTGTGTGTGTGTGTGATAGGTGGGCTAGCCTGCCACATCAGCAGATGATGGTGGCGTCGGCGTTATGGCCTCGGGCCCACGCGATAGAGAAAGAAAGGGGAGGGAGGTGACGGACGGGGACGGTGTGGCGACGGCAACGCCGTCTCCACCTGGCCCCACATGACAGTGATAGAGAGCAGAAGGGGGAGACAAGAATGGTGATGGATGGTGGTCATGCCGGTGTCGAAAGCGGGGGGGAGGCGCTGAGCTCGCCGGAGTGGGTTACACCGTGGCGTCAGCCCTCGGCGATGACGGACGAGTGGTGGACGGTGCTCATGGGGTCACGCCGTAGCCGGTGGTGGGGTCTCTGATGGCAGCGGGTGCCCACAGCGGTGGTGGCGGCTTGTCGGAGAGGATACGGCGGCACTATGAGGTGGACTCGGCCTTAAAGGCCCTATCCTAAACAACTAACTACGTGTTCGTGTGTGCGAGTGAGTGGGAGTGTAGCAGTGGTGGTGTAGTGCCCTGCTGGACCCTAGTCGATGATGGCCGTTGGCCATAGCGTCTCGACGGGCATGGTGCTCGACGACAGCGTAGCACAGAGGCATATACTATCAACTAGCTACCACAAAATGAAAAGGAGAAGCTCGGGGACTCACCAGTTACTCCAATCGGCCAAGGGCGCAGCGGAGAAGAAGAAGAGTGGAGGTGGCTCTAATGGCGCTGGCGAACTCCCGAATTGGGGGAAATTGGGGGAGGAAAAGGGGAGAGGTGGAAGAGAGGGGGAGATGGTGTGTTCCCGACCCGTCGGTGGAGCGGATGGTGGGGAGGGCGAGGCGAGAGGATCGCCATCCGGGCCTATTTATAGGTCGACTAGGTCGGTGTCCCGGCGACGAGATATTTTTCCCAGCCGCTCTTATCCACCATGCGTGCTCGTGGTTGACCTCGTCAGGTCACTTCGCCATAGCTGGTGCTTGCCCATGCGCACGGCGAAATGCCTTGACCGGTACTCCGGTGGCTCGGCGCGGAGACAACCATGGCGTCGGTGTTGACGAGTTCACAGTGAGGAGAGAGAGGAGAGAAAAGAGGGCGCCGTGGGGTCCCGTCGTCGCATCGTGTCTCCATTTACCTCTGCTGGCACCCGGGTGGAGCTAGGGGGCGTTGACGCGCGGCAGCGCCACGTACGGCTGTCGGCCACGAGGTGGATGACGAAGCTGACGTGCGGGCCCTAGGCATCAGCGAGAAGGAGAGGGGGGAGGGAGGGTTGCAGGCGCGCATTTGGCCAGTGCTGGGCCACGATTGTTGCGACGCTGGCTGGGCTGGCTCGTGTGGGAGAAGGGAAGGGGAGAGGGGAGGGAATAGGTTGCTGCTGCAGGCCGAATGGGAGAGAGGGGAGAGATTGAGCCCAAGTGGCTTTTCTTATTTTCCTTTCTCTTTTCTATTTCCCAGATCATATATGCACATGTTTAAATGATTTTGAATTCAAATTTAAATGCATGGGTATGCAAAAGTGTACCACCATAAGTTCAACAAGTCAAGCAAACATTCACACACCAAGTTTCACACATCAAGTTTTGTTTCCTACGTTAATTTGTTTTGTAAATATTATCTATGTTAGTTATATATTCTAGTTCCTATGCAAAGTTTTAAAAAGTTTAAATTTTTAGTGTTTTTTAAACTAGGTCAAAATTTTAGGGTATTACAAACCTACCCCTTAAATAGAATCTGGTCCTCGAGATTCGAGCTGATCCTCTAATAGATAGGGAAATTCCTTTTTAAGATCGTCTTCTCTTTCCCATGTGGCTTCTGCCTCTGTATGATTATTCCATTGAACCCGACAAAATCTTATTGTTGTCCTCCTAGTTTGTCGGGTGACCGTATCCAATATCTTGATTGGTCTTTCCTGATACTGTAAATCTGGTTGTAAGTCCATGGCTTCCATAGGTGCTTGTTCTTCCGGTACCCTCAGACATTTATTTAGTTGGGATACGTGAAACACATCGTGTATATCTAACATTTCTGGAGTTAACTCCAAGCGGTAGGCCACTGCTCCAATCTTTTCAATGATCTGATATGGTCCAATATACCGTGGGGCTAACTTTCCTCTGACATGAAATCTCCGAGTACCCCTGATGGGTGATACCTTTAAGTAGACGAAATCTCCGGGTTGGAGCTCTAACGGTCTTCTCCGAGTATCTGCATAGCTCTTTTGTCTACTTTGTGCTGCCTTCAAATTCTCTCGGACTTTAGCTACTTGTTCCTCGGCTTCCTCGATCATGTTGGGGCCAAATAGGCTTCTTTCTCCGATCTTCCAAGGTCGGTCGTATATGTAGGGCATTTAAGATACCTTGTGGTATAATTTGCCGATTCAGTTGTCGAACTTCTTGTACTAACTTTGGTCTTCGGTTTAGAGTCGTCATGTAGTGACAATATGTCTTTCTACTTAATGCATCTGCAACTACATTGGCACTTATTTTTTCTCATGCACTTCTACCTTCATATATACCGATTCAGAGTAACTAATTGATATGCACGCTTATGTGTGATTGGATTGATTTTTCCAAGTGCAAAAGAATAGGAGTTGAGATAAAAAGTTGTTGGAGAGAGTTTTTAATCTTGTAAAAAAAATCAAAACTAAGAGTGAGTTTTGAAAACTCTTGGAGATGGCTTACAATGTGGACTTTTGTTTGGGCTTCCTGTAAGCTTTTGGACCTTTTAAAAGCAAAAAAAAAAAAAAGCCAAAGCCACAAGTTCATTACAGTGAGCTTCAATGCTTTTAGCTTATAGGAGCTGTTTGGCTTTTGGAAGTAAAAAGATCGGCTAGAATACCGTTAGTCTTGGTTTTTCTTTTTTTTCTATAAAAAATGCTTTTTAATTGAATTAAGGAGTTTTTAGAGATGCTCTCAGCAGATTAAGATGCACCTTCCAAACGTTGTTGTATTGCTCTCTTGGCTCAACTAAACGTGATGGAGATTACTTGTTTACAATTAAATAAACAAGTGAAATTTAACCTTATCATCAAACACATATCAGGCATACCCGACCCAATGTATTTGTGGTTAAAGTATACGTATCTACTCCGTATATGTTTTCACGAAGGTTAATCAGGGCCAGACTCCATATCAGTTATCAACAATTGACGTCTTGGATTATTTTTCTCATTTTCTATAACCCTGGATTATTTTTCTCATTTTTCTGTAACCCCATGAAACGTTTTACAGCCTTTTTTTTTCCAAAACGATTTCTGCAGCCATAACATTTAGCATGTTCATCATCATCATTGTAGAGCTTCATCCATGCCAGCATTCATCACATTACCGAAATTTGCAATTTCAAAATCAAAAACCAGATTTGATTCAACAAATAAACAATCATCAGCAAGGGAACCCAGACCACACAGACACCAGAGCAATGTCACCCTCGGCGTCAGGAGAATGAACAGTCAAAAATTCAACGACTAAAACTGCTTCATATATTAAACCATGTACAGTGCAGGAAGCCAGGACAAGACATCCCACCTAGTGATCAGAATCCTATACACAATTGACAAATCCTACAAGCCCAGTAATCAAACGGAAGAAGCTAACCTCCTCCCCAACCACACTCCAATACATAATCACAGGAAATTCCACCTCAACTTCCTCTAATCCACCGAAAACAGAACACTTCCTCTAATCCACCGAAAACAGAACACTTACTATGAAACAGACGTGTTAGCTATCAGAATCAGAATAAGATTAAAAAAAAGAAGAAAATCACAACGTCCGGAAACCGCGTCCATCGGTAGCTCCACCAAAGCAACAATCACCTCTGCAGGAACACAAAAATTGCAACTTAAGAGCCAAAACCAAAGAAAACAACTTTCAAAACACCACAAAATCGAGAGACCTCTTTACCTCTTCAATCTTGTAGGAGCCGGGCGCCACATCTGCTAGGCACAATCCCGGGTACAGCAACTGCAATCCAGGAAAACCAATAGAAAAAAAAAATCTCATTAAACACCGAATTCGGAGAGGAGACAAAATCCAACAATTCTAAGCGTAGGTTCGAAATCCTTACGTCGAGCTGCCGCTGCACCGTGCGCGGGTGCTTCTTGGGCCGGCGCGGGGGCCGTGTCCCACGAATCGCCGCGAAGTCCTCCGCGATCTCCTGCTTGGACAGCGCGATGGAGAACGCCCGCTTCTTCGCCTCCGCCGTCGGCTCTGGCGCGCGCTCCGCGGCCTGAGCCGCCTCGTCCGCTTCGTCCGATCCAGCCTGGCGCGTCGGGGTGGCGGTGGCCGAGCGGCGGGTCCGAAGGTTCCACGGCGGCTGAGCGGCGCGCTGGCGCTGCAGCAGCGAGCCGCCGCCGCCCTCGGGGCGGTGGGCCTTCTCCTCCTTGTCCGGGGACGGGGTCTCCGGAGACGAGGGAGCGGGCGACGAGGCGGGGCCGTTCTTGGAGCAGCGGAGCACGCGGTGCGTGCCCCAGCTGAGGGTGGGGAAGGAGAAATCGTGGAGCCGCGCGCGGGACGAGGACGACGGCCGCGGCGCGGGACCCATGGGATTCGACTGCGCAGAGGTGACCTTGGCGCCGCGGCGGCGGTCGTTCTCGACGGCGGCCATGAGGACCATGGGAGGGTGGGAGGGAGGGGCGGGCGGCCGCGTGGGAGAGAGGAACAGGAGGAACCGAAGCGGAAGGAAGGAAACGAGGAGGGCGAGACAGAGAGAGATAGAGGGCCAGATTTTTTAAACAGCGGATAAAGGGGCCGTTTTTCCGTAAAGACCCCCGGAATCCATCTACTATTTGCCTGCAAGCCCCTTGTAAAACTGTTTTTGGACATCAAGTTTCGGCCCTTGTTCGGTGTGGACGTGTGGCGGGCTTCCACGGCTCGGTGTGGGTCGCGCGCGTGATTGGGACGGGCACGGGCCGATTGGGGTCGGGGATCGATGTGGCGTCTGGCGTGGGTGGCCTGCGCCGCGTTCCTTCTTCCCTTGGCTTCTCCCGGCGGAGCGGACGACGGGAGCGGTGACGTCACGGACTCATGCTCGCAGCTCGCAAGTCACAAGTTGCCATCTATCACTCCATGAGGATGAGGTCGAGCCGCCGCCATCAGCATCAGGTCGTTCCGGCCTCGGGGGACCAGCCTTTTCGTTCGGTGGTTGTTTTAGAGGTTTTGATGATTTTTTTTTGACAACAGGGTTGGTCCATATTCAGATACAGATACAACGATATATAACCAGAATTAGCGTGCAAGTACAAACAACATTGAAGAATAATGCATGCAGTTACATAATACATATGGAATTCTTGTTTCATTCCTCATAATAGCTTATACTACCCAAAACTTCAGCTCCAGTGTACTCCTCCAGTCGAACCGAGAGAGAGGAACGTTAGATTAAACGAACCATGCACACTAGAGACATCGACCGCTTCTAAAATCGGATGTTGCAGACGGTACGAACCGTGCCGCGTTCAGCCAGCCTATTTGCAATCAATTGGCGTTTAGACAGTGCACAAGTAGTATACATGAGCGGCCACTTCAAAAAAAATGATCGTCTTTCTGAAGCAAGACCGGACGCCACTTTAAAGCTCTACGAACTTTACTTTACGTGCCCGAGTTTTGTCACAACATGTCAGTATGGTTCAAGGCGAGATGCCCGAACAAACTTCCTATTTCAACAGACATCCCATAATCAGCAACCTCCTCCTACATCCCTAAATAGCCTACACCCAGTATACCGTCTCCTCGAGAAATCAAGTCCAACAGACATCCCATGACTAGTTTGTCCTCCTATCATCTCTAAATTGCCCAAGTCCATCATACCACGAAGCATCTCGAGTCCAGGTTTCTTAGTCCTTGATGATGGTGGCAACAAACCTGGCCTCCTTTTCTGCTTTCCCATTTTACCTGGAGTGATTTCGGGGTAGTCCGATGGCCTATACTGTGTGTAGGTGAAACTTATGCCCACCATTCTCTCAGCTCCAAAGTAGTCTGCTGCTTGCAGCGCGCCATCCCGCATGTTAACAGCAAGCGCAAACGCTTTGTCGTCCCGGTGGTCGACCTTGGCCACGACGTAGACCACATCATCGTCGTCCAAGCTCAGCGTGGGATGGCCTGTGTGCAGCTTCTGCAATGGTGGCAGAGAAGCAGCTTGCCCCAGCAGCTTAGGCAGTGACCCTGGAATGTGTGAAGCGTCGATCTTGCAGTCCCTCTCCCAGCGCCCCTCCCAAGCAGAGGCAGAGCTGGGGTTGGTGACATTCCAACTCCATGTGGTGACCGTCCAGTCGTCGGAGATGTACGTGTCATTGCTATGCGACCACGGACTGACCTGAGTTTGGTGCTCAACGCACCGGATGTGACCACCTTGGACAACTGCAATGTCACGGAACACATCCGCGGAGGCCTCTGACAGCAGCTCGTGCTTGCCAGGCTCGGACAGAGGGATGTAGTGGAGCTACGGGCGGTCGGCGAGCAGGATGCCTCGACAGAGGTCGACCCAGCCCATGACGCTGCCGCCTAGCGTGACCACCATGTGCGTCATGTGGTAGAAGAAGGTCAGGCCTGGCGATGGAGCCATGAGTTCGAGCTGCAGCACTTCGGTGGTCCACTTCCTCTCTCTTGAGTCAAAGCAGCGGAGATGGTACTGTGTGTAGTCACCCCTCCTGCCTCGGGAAACTCAGAGGACGGCGACGACGTAGTGCTGCCGGGGAATGCAGTGGGGGCGCAGGGTGTCGCACCCGATTTCTCAAATAATAACAAGCGTTAATTATATGTGTACCTAGGATATCCACACGACACATATAGCGACCGAACATGATTACAACAAAACTTACAACTATTACAAATGTATAGCAGAAACTATTCTTAATCTACTCTTCGGGACTCCATACTCCACAGGGACGATTGACTTGGGAAACACTCACCTAGTACACATGGACTCCGTAAGAAACTCTTCACTTGATCCACCATCTAGTACCCATCCTAGATTTTTTGTTGATTATAAAGCAAGTGTGAGTGCACCATACTCAACAAGTATAACATGAGGGTATGCAAGACTCACAAGGCAGGACACGGCTGAACTACGATAAGCACTTTTAGTTGGTCATGTTTTATTTATTATTAAACCTATGTTGCTAGGTTATGCTTAAGCTTCTAAGGTGAAATTATAATTAACATCAAGATTAATCATCACCCAACTCATTCATAGAACCATCTATCTCGAAAAGGATCCAGGTCGCTCGTGACTGAGAGCATGGCTGATATATCAGTTTAATAACTCTGCAGAGTGTGTACAACTTTACCCACAAGTCGTGATTCCTATTTGCCTGAGGTAGCTAGCCTCTTGACTCGCTTCCAAAGTAAGTCGACAGGGTTTCACTACGAGACCGTTCACAACTCCAATTAATAAATAGCAACCTGCTAAGGTTTCCCCATCAAGAAGAAAGATCCCGCCCCAAGGGGTGACTAACAAAAAAAGACTAAGAAACCAAAGTGCACCCCCTTGGTAGGCCGAGATCAAACTAATCGGAGCCCCTCTTGCATCCTTCGGTAAGCTGCCACAAACTAGTAGAATTCTGATACTGAGTCAAAGCCAAAGCCATGTAGCTTGTGGTTGCACGGTATGTCTTGGGTTGCCGCTTTAAGATTCAGTCCTTACGGAGGGTAGACAAGAGCACCCAAAAAAGGCCCAATGCTCTAGCCCCCTGATATCCATGTTGCTAAAAAGCATCATTTTAACATTGATTCCATAATCCATTAATCAAGATTAACACTATAACAGTTTGGTGATTGCAAGCTAAGCAAAACTACCCATATGCATAACCCAAAGGTAACAAGGAATATAGGATAACAAAGGTTCTAAGTAAAGTCCTTAGGGGTTCATCATATTAGACATATGCTTATGAAAAGGTGATTAAATGGTTATTGGGTAACAAGGGAACTCATGTTACACTTGCCTTCAACTATTGCTCACACCTGTCCAACTTTCCTTTGGATCATCCTTGCATAGCTCCTCTTCTATAGACCGCAACAACCAGCGCAAGCACCATAAAGAAACCTAAAAACAATGCATCAAGCATTATAAAAACAAGACATAAAGGTTTTAAAACACGTAGGGCTTGTAACTACGATCGCTTGAGCGCAAAAACTACTAAAACATGAGCAATGGTTTAAAAGACATGAAAGTTGGAAGGTTTGATAAATGATAGGAATAGAATAGACATGATGTATGTGGGCTAACTTGAAAGATTTATATAGCATAAGGATTTATAGGTGAGGGGTAAATGATTAGAGGAGTGTATACAAGATGGATAGGATATTATGAAGAATGAAGTAAGCATTCAAAGATTTAAGGGCTAGATCACATGGGGATGACATGCAAGCTTGATGAGAGGAAACATACACATGGCAATGGTTACGCAAAAGTGAGATGGTATGGTGAGGTAGTATCAAGAATATTTATTTCTGGTCATAGAACATGAAGACACAAGAATAATGGTGGTGATTGGCATAGTTGGAATTTGCCAACAGCAAGGCGATCATAGATACGTGGCAAAAAGTGAAGATGAACCTATAGCTCATGTTCTGCAAACTCCTCTAGGATATGAGAATGATCTTTTGGATTTGTGAAGAGTACACTTTGGAACATATTTTGACAAGTGGTGCACTAATAAGGTGGATGCTAGATCAACGAGAAACACAATTACCATGAATTGTGCGCCGGCTGAACATACCCGTGCAGCGGGTAGTGGCGACTATGGCCATCAAAAGGATGGGTCACACTGAGTTATGAGAAATCCACTTGATAGAATCATGTGTAACTATTGTGCACACATTCTTGCCAAAGGGATCAACTATTCGACCAAAGGTTTAGTGGGAAACACAGCAAAGTACCGGTGCACCATGAACTTGTATATCAGCGGACCACAAACATGTCTATGAACCAAAGCTTGGTATTCACTTCACCAATTAGTGATATGTTTTGTGAGTTTGTTAGGTACTATGTGGAGTATGGTTTGGTAAAAGGGCAAGTCTTTTGGAGTATTGTTGAGCCGGGGAACGTGGTTGCAAAACAGGGTGGCATGGCTGTTTTCTGGACAGCAGGAGTAGCGGTTACTATGGCCTCGATATCTCAGCCATCATGGTACCGATGAGCAAACTAACTTGCAAAGACATGTGCAAATATATGAGACACATTACTGTCAAAGGGTTTGAGGATTGGGTTCATGGATTAATGACGAACGCAAATGACATTCAGTGCTGCAAGCTGCTAGAACAGCAGGGACAACAAGCACAAAGATGAAGATATCTATATCTCCTACATCTCAACTCCTATGGCCAAACCATCTTACAGGGGCATGTTGAAGGATGGTAAATACACCAAGGTCAAAGGGTTCGATGATCGGAGTTATGAAATAGCAAGGAATGTCGTTTCCATTGGCGGCGACAAAGTTGGCCGCGAGGACAGCAACACATACCGTGGGTAAACTTCACCGGGGATCAACCAAATGTCATCTATGGCACATGATATGTAGCGAGGAACATGAATACAAGATGGGAAAGATGATGGGATGTTCTCACCTAGGGTTAGGATTTGGTTGTGAGAGGATACGCGGTCAACAATGACTGGCG